GAAGACTATTACAGGTGCCCCCTCGACTTGGTGGGATTTGTAGTTTTTTAATTTTTGTAGTTTTGTTTTTGCATGCATAGTCGGAGTGAAATTACATGGCCCCTCAGAGGATCAAGCAATTTCTGTGTTTTAGGTTAAACAAACATCATGTGTTGTAATCAGATGCTGTTTTTTGCTACTTATTTTCAGAAGTTACTGCTGTGGTTCTTCTGAAATTTTGCTTGCACAATGTATTTCTGTTCTGATTCATGTTTGTCTTAATGTGCTTTATTAAAGCATGTATTAACTTATTAGATATTAAAATAAACCACCATAGCATACATACTGATCTTCTACTCTGCTGAGTATTGACCAAACCACGACATGGTAGGGACCGAGGTGCTTGCGCATCGCACCTGTAACCGAGGAGGTCAAGCCCTACAAGGGAGACCTTCTGTTGTAGCCGTGGTAACAGGCCTTGCTGCCGTAACCATGGTAACAGAACTTCAGCTGAATCAATGACTATAATATGCAATGAAAGGTTTTTTCTGGGCCAATCTGCAGTACTCCGTGGTGAATATTTGGTACAGAGCTTTGTTTTGTTCTTATAATTCATGCCCAAAGACTGCTGGCCGTCAGGGTCTGGTGTCGTCCTCTGACGCTGCATTCTCTGCGTAGCTCGTTGGAGGACGTCGCCTCACCCGCCAGACAGTCCTGAAGTGAGACTGAGGCCCCACTGTGCTCCACCTGTGCTGTAAAACTTCACATCCCCCCCCGCCCCCATACCTGGGGAGGGCTTATTAATGTTCGCCAGCACTGTCGTTCCCATTTCTCACTGTCGCCGCATCCTGTCGACACTCCCCGGGCAAAAGTGCGGCTCTGATGTGGTGAATAAAAAAACGGCCGCGTACGATCCATGGAACCTGCCCCCACCCCCCACCTTGCCACACACACACACACACACACACACACACACGCACACACACACACGATACACAGGGGAGTAGAATCAATCTAAAGAGCGGTTTTCTGTTAGAGGAGATACGGAAAGTTATGCCATGTGTACAAGGCCATTGTCTTTGCTCTCCAAAACAAAACATAAACTACCACACAAAATATTTTCCAAGTGTGACAACAATCATGGCAAAACAGAGCAAGTTTAGAAAGGAAAACTACCAGGAATATACTAATAGGTGTGGTCAGTTTAGTTTATTTTAGTTTATTGTTTTATGTCAAAATAAACTGAACAAATATTTTTAAAAACCAGAATCAGGCAACAAAACCGGTACATCGTTAGAAGGATGTGGCCGCTTGAACCTTTTAAGTGGGATAGTTTGAAGGACCCTTTTAAATGCATGACACTCAAAAGTATTGTATGGCAATAAAGGATAATAAGTTTATACTAGTTACTGGGTGGGTGGGGCATTTCACGTACAAATAACATATGCACCCTTCTGCATGGATGTATCCAAAGCTTCAGTCAAGCGCTATAGTGTGACACAGCCCTACAGACGTTGCCGTGGTGATGAGAAGATGGCGTGCAGGAAAAGGACGCTGCTGACGCGCCTCAAGGTTAATGGGATCCTAAAAGGGACAGGTGCAGCCCAGCATCAACAACACCTGTCCCGCTGAAGGGGGCTCGATCGATGGCGTCGTGAGAAATCGGACTGGGGAGGTGGTCTGCGCGGGGGGCGCAGCGCGAGGGGAGACACGTGTTACTCGTAAATTCCGGAATTCATAACCTCAAGGATTGTTTTGTCATCTCGGTGGGTGCCTGTTGTCTGGTGGTAATTCTACAGTTCAGTTTATTTTGAAAAAATTTAAAACAATAGTTACAAATAAAGAAATTTGGTAGAAGAGCGATTTTATGAAACTTGGTGGTAAAGCTACATTTAAGCTTATTTTCTAAATTTTAAACACAAACAGATAAAAGAATTCAGTGGAAAAAAATTATTAAACCTGGGATAAAGCTACCTTTCTGTGTATTTTTAAAATTTCAAAAATAATAGTAACAAATGCAGAAATTTGGGGGGGGGGGGTCTTGTTTTTTTCCATGAGAAAGGAATTAAAATGTTTGCGTATTACTTAATATTAATTTTTAATAATTACACATTTTAATAGCTTGAAGATAATTTTATTACATGTAGAACGTTATAAAACTCTTCTTCCTCTTCCTCGGAATTAGAATGTCACTGGTGGTTTTATCTGCTTTTCGAACGCGAGCTGAACCCAGTGTTGAGATGTGAAGAAGATGGAGTGCGACAGAATAAATAATATGGGATATTAGAGTAACCGTAGTGGTCTTCAGCCCCCCTCTCCAGTATGGCTGCATTCGAAGACCCCTGACGATGCCGTAGGGGAACCTGCTGGTCGTCACGGGTAATTAACGAGATGTCACTTTCTGTGAGCGCTGACTCTCCTCGAAGGAGTCCGCTATCTGCACGGCGAACGCATGCGACAAGAGGCATTCTTCACTTATCTTTATCTTTTTTCTATCCCTTTAAGCTGCTGTTTTTCCTTCCTAAAAAGAGTTCCAAACTCCCCACCCCCCACCCCCCAAGAAAAATATAATTCTCATTTCCAAAAACGCTGTTTTGCTACTTGCGGAAATGAAATCACCCTTACTTTAAGTGATTCCTACTTACATTGAACGTAACAGACAGAATATGACATCATTCTGTTTTGGTAATTTTTGCTTTTAAGGGCAGGATATGACATGGTAATTAACAATATGGTCATGTGATCAATAAATTGAGCAACACAATCAGTGATTTGACTTAAAAAAAATCTCCTGTATAAACAAAGTCACATTTTTACGGTTTAAATCACTGGATAATAATGTCCGTGATTGAATGAAATAAAAAGGCAGTGAAAAGAGCCTTGTGACAGGGAGGGCTTTGAGACGTCTTACACACAATCGGCCCAAAAAATGACTTCAGGATTTGTACCGAGGGGGTGGGGACTCTCTGCTCGACACAAAGCAGAAGAATCAGAATCAACCAGAAAGAAAATGGAAGACATGTGCATGTCGGAGAGGCCCATCGGATCCCTTCCATTACTTCTAACCTTAGAAGCAGGGCTCGTAACCGCCGGCGACACCATTCTTCTTGGTGTTATCCAAAGGGAACCCATCAGTCAGCCTCCGGAACCTGAATGGTCGACGAGCAAATCAGGGGTCCTTAAAGTGCCATTGTCTCCGGCCCAGGAGAGAGATGGAGCGAGAGCCCCATAAAATCTGCATGACAAATCGAATCAGAACTGAAAGCAGTGCTTATGAATGGGGGGGGGGGGGGGTTATCTGGTACATTATTGGAGTCTTTCCAGTTTGACCTGCACAGGAGGAGAGACAGTAGGATGTAGCGTGAGGAACTTCTACACAAAGTCAAGGGAGGTGATGTTACACTTATATAATTCCTTTTTAAGATCCCACCTAGAATATTGTGTGCAGGTTTGGTCACCATACCTTAAGAAGGACATTGCTGTCTTAGAAAAGGTGCAACGGAGGGCTACGAGAATGATTCCTGGTCTTAGAGGAATGTCTTATGAGGAAAGGTTAGCTGAGCTGAATCTGTTTAGCCTTAAGCAAAGGAGACTAAGGGGGGACATGATCCGGGTCTATAAGATTCTAACGGGTCTGGATGCTGTTCAGCCAAATGGCTACTTCAATATTAGTTTAAATAATAGAACTCGTGGCCATAAGTGGAAATTAGCGGGAGAACATTTTAAAACAAATTTGAGGAAGCACTTCTTTACACAGCGTGTAGTTAGAGTATGGAATAGTCTTCCTGCTAGTGTAGCAGAAGCTAAAACCCTGGGTTCCTTTAAATTAGAGCTAGATAAGATTTTAACAACTCTGAGCTATTAGTTAAGTTCTCTCCAAACGAGCTTGATGGGCCGAATGGCCTCCTCTCGTTTTGTAAATTTTTTCTGTTCTTATGTAAATGGAGATAGAGAGAGGGTTAGAGACTGCAAGAGAGAGAGAGATTCTGTACCACCAAGTACCTCCAGTTTTTCAATCTGAAAGGAAGACACATCGCAAATATGTATCGCATACCTCCCTGTGTTTTATTTACTTTCTGTTTCTGAGCATCGGCTTCTGGAACATTCCAAAGCTGGAACTTTGATGCCCATCTCACCCAGATCTGCCCATTTCCTACTGGGACTTCCTGAAGTTAACAAATCCGTTAGAGACATACCTGTAGCGAGGACTCCTGCTCGCAGGCAGTGCTCCCCCTGCAGGAGCTCTGGGGAAGCCCTGAGCCGGGACTGGCTCATTCACACAGGGAGTTGCCTTGCCATTTATCCTCTGCTTGTTACCCGCTTCTGTTCAATTCAGTTTATCTTTATATAGCGCCTTTCAGGACAGAAAAGAGAGAATAATACAAAAGCAGGGCAAAGGGAAGACAAAGATATGAATGTAAGAAAGCCAGAAAAAAAAAATTCTGATGGTTCAAGGTAAACTGGCTGGCCCAGACATGCTAACATTTATAGTAAAAGAAAGAGTGGATCTATTTGCTGAAAGCAAGGTGTGAACAGTGGTCAAAGCCAAAGTCCATCAATGAGTCAGTTCTCCACATCGGCTTGTGCAGGTTTGAAATCTACACCCATGATGTTACAGTTTATATGCTGCATCCATGATGTCACCCTTCCATGGCTCCGATGGTGCCGACCCCAGGAGATGGACCCAATTAACTTCCTAATACTCCAATTAAGTGCCTGGTTCCAGGGCTTTAACCAGCAGGCTTTGGGTTAAGTCCTTAACCTCTGAGCCCCCTGCTGGCCAAAAAAAAAAACAAGTTACATGTAGAGTCTTCATTTTAAAACAATGTTTGATGTAGCCGAGTTCTATGTCTTTTGTGTGTTATGTGGTGTCTAGATGCTTTTATGTCCTGAGCCAAGATTCCACTCTGGCAACATTCCTGTGATGTCGTGCTTGCGACACGGAAATGTGTCCGTGTGTCGGACCTCCTCCCCCCCCCGGGCCTGGCCTCCGTCCAAATGCCACACCCCTTTTTGGCAGGGTGCTTAAACGCTGCCGCACAGGCAGGTCAGCTCATCCAGTGGCGACTTAGTCTCTCTGCCGCACGCGGCGCCCAAAAAGCCTCCACGGCTTCCTGGCAGGAGAAACAGTGGGAAGCAGCGACGGCCTGATTAGGCACGTGATAATCAGGCGTGTGAAGAGCAGGATCGGTTACGCAGGTCCAGGACACCCTGGGGGGTGACGGAGAAGGGACGGAAGGTGCCAGAGGCTCGGAGCTCACTCACAGTGAGTGTGTGGACCATTCCTGGAGTCACTCACCAGAACCTGGAAGTTCATCTCCCTCCGGTCTGCTTTGTCTCCATTTTCAGTTCTGCTTTGACTCCCATTCCTCTCCTTCATCTTTGTGGAGCCATGGGCTCCTCGCAGAGCAAGAAGAAATGGGACTGCACCCGATATCTGAACGGGAATGCCCCAGTGGCCTCGCAAGGTACGGCGCCCCCGCCCCTGGCTAGCGCCGGCTAGCCCTTACCCCGCACCCCCCACCCCCTGCTCACACACCGGCCTCGTTCTCTGCATGCAGCGAACGGGACGAGTCAGGCACCGTGGGCCGTGTGTCCCACCTGCGGCCAGACGACAGCGGGGGCTCCAGTCAATGGCAGCAATGGGACGGTCCCATCCCAACCCGAGAAGGAGACCAACCTGTAGAGCGAATTGGGTGGGATTGGTGACGGGAGATGGTAAGAATAAAGGCAATATCTATGTATCTGTATCTGTTAGCTTGGGTGTTTGCCTGTCTATGTGTCTATATGTATCTGTTTGTCTGCCTGTCTGTGTATCTATATCTATATGTCTGTCTGTCTGTCTATTTGTCTATATGTATCTTTGTCTGCCTGTCTATGTCTCTGTATCTATATGCCAGTCTGCCTGTCTCTGTCTCTATATCTATTTGTTTGGTTGTCTGCCTGTGTATGTGTCTATATCTACCTGTTTGGTTGTCTACCTCTCTATGTCTCTGTATCTATCTATCTATCTCTCCGTCTGCCTGTCTGGGTCTCTATATCTGTCTGTTTGGTTGTCTGTCTGTCTATATCCATCCGTTTGCTTGTGTGTCTATCCCCGTATCTATTTCTCTATAACCAGTGTAGGGGAAGTTACTTACAAGAGTAATCCATTACAGACAGAGGTGGAAAGTTCAGGTCCAGAAAGTACAAATCCAGACCAAGGTTTTGTTTCAACCAACCAGTTGAGTATAAAGAGTCACAGTCACACTACTCAACTAGTTGGTTGAAACAAAACCTTGGACTGGATTTGTACTTTCTGGACCCGAACTTTCCACCTCAGTCTGTAATTAATTATTTTTGTGAGTAACTTCCACAAAACTGTCTATATCTATGTGTTTGTCTGTCAGTGTCTGTCTGATCACTACTGTATTTTCTCTGATGTATTCTGCTTAATTGTTTATTCATTATTTCTGAGTATTTCTTTTTTCAGGTTGTGCAAAACATGTATCTACAGTGTCTATAGTGAAGCTGCTATTTCTTACTGTTACCTATGTGCTGTACATTGTAGAACACAGTGTGGAATATGTAGAGCACTGTGTGGAATATGTAAAGCACTGTGTGGAATATGTAGAGCACTGTGTGGAATATGTAGAGCACTGTGTTGCATTTGAGGAAGACGGTAAATGTATAAAACAGCTACTGACGGTAAGCGTTTGTGTTTATATGAAATATGGCACATATATGCGGACACGCTTGACACACGCTCCGGTACACAGATGTGTCCCTTTGGGGCAGAGATCTAACCGACAAAGAATGTGGAAAATGCGAGGATTACATGGCAACGCATTCCGGAACGTTCACATTCCGGGCTCCCTTCTGCGCGGGAACTCGTCCTAGAGTGCATTAGGCCGCATGTCATGAAAAGGAAAGATCCCACTCGTGATGCGGCACGTTCTGGAACCTTCTGCCAGCTAATCAGGGCGCCCCTTGTAACACTCTGAAGCTTCTGCATGTTTCCACTCGGCTGTGACTGAGGGACTAAAAGCCAGTTCCATCTGAGATATTCTTCAGTGTCTGGGGGTGTGCAGACACAGTATTTCAAGCTTAACCGGAGTTACAGGTTCTAATCCCTGGCTGGTCTCTGCCATTGTACCTTGGGGGAGGGGAAAAATTCATTTAAAAACACTGAATCTTTAGCTAACTGAGAGGTGGACAAAAGGACAAATTTGTTTTAGTATTTATTAACCGCAAATTAGCATTTTCTCTATAATTTTCTATTTATTTATTTAATTATTGTTATTATTATTACTATTACTTTTATGAAACTTGTTATATTCTATATTCTCTGTATTTTATGGCTTCATGCTTTATTGTACGGTGTCCTTGGGTGCTAGAAAGGTGCCTTCTAAATAAAATTATTACTATTATTATTATTATTATTATTATTATTAATATTCTGATATGAACAAACCAGCATATCCTTCCTGGGATTGGTGCCAGACTCACTGTCACCCTGTAATGGTGAAGAGTTTCCAAGATGGAATACAGAACAGGAGGAGACTGTGCATGTCACTGTAAACACTTCCTTCGGGAATGATACTGTGAGCCAAACAGCTTCAGCCCAAATGCATAAAAGCCAAGTCAGTCATGACTCTGAAGAGTAAATTCCCAAAATTCACTACGTCCACAGGATACTTGGTTGAGAAAATTTCTGTAGACTTAGCCAGTCCTGGAACTTTTAACAAGAGTTCGGCATTGGATTGAATATAAAATGAGTGAGTTTTGGCCTGACTTTTGGTCGTTAGTGGCAACGGAGTAAGAAGGAGTTTGATATTGAGGGTGACACAACCCCCCCCCCCACAGTCCAAAAACATGCTGAGGTTAAATAGGGGTGCCAAATTGCCCATAGGTGTGTGTGTGTGTGTGTGTGTGTGTGTGAGTGAGTGAATGGCGTGTGAGTGTGCCATGTGATGGGTTGGTGCCCCCTCCTGGGTCGTTCCCTGCCTTGCGCCCGTAGTCTCCGGGATCGGCTCAGGATCCCCAGCGACCTTGAACAAGATACGCAGTTTCAAAAAATGGACAGGTGCCTCCCCAGGTTCTGTGCCCCTGATTGTGGTCTCATCTCAAAAACAACAAAAAAAAAAACGGTTCTGGAAATTTGCGCTTCAACTACGCTAATTCAGCAGCCATGACATGCCTGAAAGCAGAAGCCTGAGGATGTAGGCCGCTTTCACGACGCTTCAGTCCCTTGACACGGCTCGAAACATCACATCGGTGGCATTTCCTCGGGGACAAGCTCTCATCCCGGCCATAAAAACTGGAACAGCAGGTATTTCTGCATTTGGCAATTTCAGGAACACGTGCGGAGGGCAAGGCTGCACACGACCTCACATCCGGCTCGCCGATCCGTTTACATGTAATCCGCCCCTCTCGCCCCGTCCGCTAATCCGGAGATTCAGATACCGTAACGTCTGGAGTATCTCGGCAAGGAGATTAAATTGCCGCTCTGGGTCAGCACCGGGGATCCCAGAGTTCTTGGGTTCAGCTCTCCTGAGCCTGCTCTGTGCTGCCATTCACTTCTCTAATTAGCGCCGTTTTCTTCCCAGCAAATCACATCCCTTGGTGTTGGGGAAGTGAATCTCAGGTCACCGTGGAAACGGAGCAACCCACTCCTCCCTGCTGTGGGTAGAAGCCTGCTGGCCGTGCCCATGGAGCTGCCACAGACAGAACCAGATTTAGCTGCTTTGGCTTTAGTACCTGGCATGCAGAGCCCTTGAAAAGATGCCCCCTACTGGTCGGGTGAGGGAAAGCATTCACATGGACCCTGCCTGTTTTCCAACGCTGCTTTGCATATTTCCAGTGTTTCCTATGACTTTACTGCTTTTTTACCTTGTTATACCCTATTTCCAACTAATGGATTCTACCACCAATGTTATCCCTATCCTCTACTTGTCTTGTCTAAAAGTGTGAATTGTAAAAAGGACTAATTATGTAAAAGATAAATAATGCAAAACTGTGAAACTATTTTCAGCTCCTCCCGTTTGGCTGTAGATGACTGATCAATAAACATTTGCCTTTCCAACGCAGCTTGCAGTCTGTCATCCACGAATCGGCACATAGCCGCCATCTCTGTTCCTTCGAAAGCCTTCCACCATCACTACACAGACATCCCCGTCTCCTCACCAGGCCTCAGCCTCAGATCCCTCTCCTCCGGCTGCCAGTCCCAGACCGTCAGCCCAGAGTCACACACATACCTTTAGACCTACAAACCCATGCTGGCTCCCATACCACCTGATTTATGAGTCGTAAAGTGTGGCCTGTCCTCGTCTCCAAGGCAACACCATCCCATAATAACAGCGGCCAAAGGTGTACCTGGTTTCTGGTCATGCACCGGAGAGGAAGCCCTGGAACTATTTCAGTGCAAGAGCAGCTCCCCTTGTCAGGCTCTCAGGCCGCGTGTTTCAGTCTCTGGTCCAATTTCCTTACCTGCTGTCCTGGTTATGGATGTAAAACAAGGGGGACATGAACCTGTTGTCAAGCAGAGACTTGAATTTGCTGTGTCTAAGACCTGCTTGTAAAACACTGTTTACTTGCTTAATTTTATTTTTCCTGTGGTTTATCATTCTTCCTCAAAGAAATAGACTGTTTTCCGAAAACCATAAATTCTCAGGGAAGGTAAGCGGTCTGTAGTCACAGATGGGGCAGCGTAGTGGAGTTATGTCGACTGCAGGGCGTGGGATTGAATCCTGGGCCCACGCTCTGTGGTTCATTGTTTTTACCAGATGGGCTGTGGTTCAGGTGAATTGGTGTCTTTAAATATCCCAAAGTGTGTGATTGTCTGTGTGTTCTTCCGCTGAACTCTGCTGTTTGGGATTGGCTCCAGACTCACTGTGACCTGCTACTCTATACAAGGGCATAGGTTTGGGATAGGCTCCAGGCTCACTGTGACCTGCTACTCTATACAAGGGCATAGGTTTGGGATAGGCTCCAGGCTCACTGTGACCTGCTACTCTATACAAGGGCATAGGTTTGATTTCAACATCGGTAGGGACGAAATCAGTCCCAAACTCCCCACCCCCTAAACACACACGGTACTCCCCCAGTGTTGGTGGGGACATGTCCCAAACATCCATACCAAAATCTACGCCCTGGACCGAGTCTTTGGTCTAGCAGGCATGAAGCAATGTTGTTTCAGTCACTGTCCCCGTGTTTTTGGATTCTCATATTTCTTCGGAGTAAAATAATAGCTAACTGTTTGACTTTTACCTCTGAATGATAAATTCTCAGAGAATAGGCATGTTCTCTTGTCACAGACTCCAGCTCAAACACATCATCTTTAAGTGTCTCTGCCACTCCTGTTCACTTCACTCAAGGCCTTGTCAGGCCAAGCCCGCATGTTATATAGCTTGTACACCCCACTCTGGCCTTATTTACAGCTAGATAAAAACTGGAGCTGCCTGTTTTGAGAGCTTCATTCATGATTCATTCGCATAGCTATCTGCTGAATTTAAAAGATCTACATACACGACGAAGCATCTGGGATGGACATTCTTGCCGAGATAAATAAATGTGCTGAGAAGCATTAATGTAAGTGTTCTTTTTTTTTCGCGACTGACTTCAAAAATTTCATGGAGTAATGCTCCGATCCCTTCTGCGATCCCCTAGCCCTCACGCTTTGTGGACAGCTGCTCTTCTGTGCCCTCTAGTGGCGCACAGTGTCAGTGCATTTACGCCTTCTGACAAAATGCAGGCACTAGATTCAATTCAATTCAATTTATTTTTATATAGCGCCTCTCACAACAAAGGCGCTTTACATAAGTGTATGCATTTCTACATCATTTGCCCACAATAATTCAAAAACACGGAAAAGTAAAGACAAAGAAATAAAGCCTGATGACAACGGAGGAAGGGAAACAAAAACTCCCAAGTAGGGAGAAAAAAAGGAAACCTCTGGGGGTCAAGGGTCAATTGGCTGACCAACCACCCCAGGCGTGCTAACATCGTAGAAAGAATAAAGATAAAGAATGGGTGCAAATGGAGAAAACAAGGTGTCGTAAATGAAATTATCCCCGAATTTTAAAAATAAATGTCTATATTTGTAGATATAAAACCCTTATAAATAATTTATTTCTTAGGATTCAAGGAAAATAAAGCAATCCATCAATCAAAGGTTAAATGCTATCTGTAATATCTTTCACAGCCGAATTGATCTATCGCGCAAGACGTCCTCGGCAAGAATAAAAATAGTTCGTCTGTCACAATTTTGTCAGACGCAAGATACTTAACATCTTTCCGGGTTTGTTAAGTCTGTCAGCAGTCGCTTCGCCTGTATCCTTTCTAATTAGAAACACGTCACAAATTTAATGGATAAGAATCCGTTTGAACATTTTAACTTTGTCCATGTGGACGTATGAAAGTAACATCATACTTTTCACTTTATTTGTTTATTTCCCCCTCACTATTTCCCTTGATCAGAAGTCCTCACACCTTTCGCGTATTGTATTTAATGTTTTTTGGACCCCCGTATCAGTACCAGACTGAGCCCCTCTAATGCGCTATTTTCTGTTTCCAGCAATTACTTAATATGGGTGGTTATGTTGAGGTTCAGATTCTGACATTTGCTAAATTATATGTGCGTGTTATTTTGTGGTATTTCTGGCTGACTTGTGATAGTTTCGTAACATCGGTAAATTGTTTGATCCGGAGAAAGCAGAAGCATGCCTCCATTTACCCCCAAATCGATTTAGTAAGCGGCCGGTATGATGCCTCCAGCTACCACACAGACAGCTTAAAAATACCCCCCTCCGCCCTATAGTGTCTCTCCCTTATTTTCCAGGATGGCAAAAAAAATGTGGACTTTGCAGCGTGTGGGAACTCTTTTTTCCATCCTCAAACCGGATTACCCGCTGCGCTCTGTACAGACAATAAAGTCTAATCGGGTTGCGGTCAGCCATTAGAGGAAATCCTGTCACCTCGGTCGGGGCTCCTAAATCACTTTCCTCCTGGACGACGGAGGAGAAGCCATCCGTCCCCGCTGTCATGCCGGCCGCTGTGCTGGAGGCAATCAGATCTCGCCTGCTTACTACTCCCTTCAAACCGAGAGCCTAAACCCGGCGAGACCGCTATACCCATGTCGAAACTACGACTTTCTATGTGTGGGTTTAAACGTCAAACGTGATTAAAAGAAATTACAAGGAAGGCAGTATGGAGACAGAGTGGGCAGCACTGCAACCTCACACCCCCGGAGTTTGGGTATCGATTCCTACCCCTGGTTCTATGTTGTTTGCGTGGGTTTCCCCCCAAAGTTCATGCAGTTAGTTTTTAATGTGTCTATATTATTATTGTGTGTAATATGTTTTATTGTGTGTGTGTTTGTTTGTTTGTATATGTAGTATAGTTATAGAAGACCTAAGATGTGGAGCAACAGCATAACTGTGGAGTTGCACATGCCAGAGAGAGCTGCTGGATGGCTCCATGTCCTCATTCACCTATAATCCTGCCCCCTCCCAGAACTTTTTAGCAGCATCGCTTAACCAAAAGCGGGAAGCCATTCATTAGGCAAACAGAGCCGAGTTGCCCGGCAGACACGCTTCCCCGTCTCCCCCCGTGTCGCCCCTTCTTAAACAAACCGAGAGGATTTCTCTAAACGCTTGCAGCCCGCTTATTAGTGGTGATGAATGGGCTGTGCATTGAGTTTCATTACGCGCTTTAATTTGCGGGTACAATTACACTTTATCCTTTCGGAAGACGAAGCAGATTTGCGGGCGATTAATTAAAAGGCTTGCACTCCCCAGCCGCGAAGATGGATGTGGTCAGGACCACCCCCCCTCAACCTCCCCCCTCCCACTTTGCCAGCCCGCCCAGGGAGTTTGCATCGCGTCTCCTTCTTCCCCCTCATTCGCCCCACCCAAAATAATTACCCGAAGTGGCAGGTACGGAGCGGGGATTGGGCGGGGGGCTCCCTGGGTGACCTCCGTGGGTTGGCTTAAACGATCACTCAATCATCCCGTTGTGCTAAAACCAACATCTAATCAGGGAGGGCCCCTGAATAATTGATTGCATTGGTGGGGATTAATAAAACCTGTCTACCTTTGGGGACCTATGCCGGGTTAGGGAAAGTCCTCGGTGAAAATTAGCTAAACCTTTGAGCCTCTGAACATGGTGAGTCCGGTTCTCCGCTTTCCCGTCCAACATCGATCCGTGAATTCATCAGCTGATCAATCGATCGATGAAGGCAGACAAAGCCTATATACGCAAATGGGCCCGGCTTGAAGAACTGTCGCGTGTTTATAGGAAGTGGCCAGAAATGACGGAGCGGAATGTGGAAATAAAAGCGAAGGGCTTTGGCTTAAGTCTAGCCTAATTTAAGCTTAAGTTCAAGGAACACCCGTAGCGCCCCCTGCAGAAAGAAAAACAAACTACCTGTTTTTTTTCGAATTGTAGTCAAAATGTGCAATCTTTTTTGTGGGGGGATTCTTTATTTGCCTGCATTGTGTTTATAAAGGTAAATAGATTATTGTTTCACTTTAATCATTTATATCCAGCTTATTTATTTATATGTCTGCTAGTTAAGTGAGAAAGAGCATTTTTAACCACATTCGGGATAAAGGTACGCAATAAAGAGAGGAAGGGCAAACGTTGGGTATTATGGGCAATGTTGGTCTTGGGGGGTGAGCTGTCCCTCCCTTCTCACCAAACTCCGTGTCCTGTTTGTGTCACTCTACCCATAAAGCATTTCTTCGAGGAGCTAGCGGGGGCACGCAGCAGGGCCATAAATCGTACCTGGGCCCGAGACTCAAAAAATGGATGAAGAAACTGAAGCCTTCTGACAGGGAATGCAGACTGATAGATCTGTAGCCGATGAGCTGACAGGATAGGGTGGTGCTTTTGGTGCAGAAGGTCATGGGTTCGACTCCCAAGAGGGGAAGTTTGCCATTCTGTTGGAACAGCTACACTAGAGCTTGTGTGCATTTTGAGGGAATATAACAAGCACAGATCATACCTTTAGGATGCAATGTAGGGGTGTTCAGGCCTTAAACTGCCTCAGGAAAGTGAAAGTTTCTGTGTGTGTGTGTGTGTGTGTGTT